AGACGCTTTGAAATCTCTTGACTTGGATTTTAATTGTATCTAAGGATGAGGGTATGATAATAGTGTAAATATAAAAGGCAAACATCAAGATTTACAAAAAATATTGTTCGATATAAATTCAAGAGTTTTTTATATGCCTTGTGGATGTCGTAGTCTTAATTTGGTTTTTTGTGATATGTCAAATTCTTGTTATAAAGCAAAAACTTTTTTTGGTATTTGTGATATACAATGTTTTTTTTCTAGTTTGACAAATAGATGAGAAACGTTTTATTTAAATATGTAGATGAATTAACACTTAAATCATTATCTACAACATGTTGGAAAAAGTCACATTGAAAATGTTAAAGTAATAAAAACTCAATTTTTCAAATTAAAAGCTTTAATAAAATTAGCTAAAATGAGTAATAGCAGAAAAGTTTGTAAATATGTCAAATCATTAATAAATAGTGAAATTTCTAGTTTTGAATTTATTTTACGTTTAATAATATGACATGATATTTTATTTAGAATTAATTTGGTAAGTAAAAAGTTACAACTCAAAAGATACGATTCTTGATGTTGCGATAAAAAATTTAGAAAGATTAGTTAATTATTTTTGAAATTACTTGGAAAATAGGCTTGACTATGCTATTAATGAAGTTACAGAAATAACACAGAGTATTGAAGTTGAGCCTGAATTTCCTATTAAATATATTTCTTGTAAAAAACAATTGGTTGAAGTTCTAAATACTGAAAAAACAATATTCTAAAGAAAACTTTAAAACAAATTATTTTATTATTCTAGTGGGTATGAGTCTTTTACTGTTGAAAAACATATTTGAGGAAATGCAACATGTTCAATCCATTTATAGTTAAATGAATTTTTGTTTGATGTTTCAAAGTTAAAATCCATACTTATGAATTAAAAAAACTATATTGTATGAAACTATAAACTATGCTTGACCCTGAAATTTTGGAGACCTTATGCGGAAATCAAAATGAGGCCTACAAAAAAAATTCTTGTAAGAATATTCTTAAGTAGTTTTATCACCGCTAGACTCAAAACTTAAAGTTGCTAAAAAACACATCTCGTAAATTCACTACCACAATATCACATCTTCCGTCATTAGTAATAAATAAAACATTAAAAAGAGATAAAAAAAAAAATCAACTATCACGCTTTCATAATTAATATTCTTAAAACTCATTTTAAATTGAAATAAAAACCAAAGCATTTAACTTCTCTTGATACATGGCCGAGTGCAAATAAGATTTTAAAAGTGTTAGATCTACTTTTCGTTTATGGAACTGTAATGAGAACAATCAACAATATTTTTTATGATATACAAGAAACTGGATACATATAATTTTTAAGAAATTTAGTATTCCTTTAGCCGTATCATGTTCAAATGATAAATGTTTTTATAACAATTTCAGATATTTAAATAAATCATCAACATCGATGTCTGAGATACGACCATTTTGCAACATCTTCTCAAGATTTTTGCAACTGACTTTAATTCACTAGTATTAAGTGACTTCAGTTTTCTAGCTGTGAATAAGAAACCAAAAATGTATTCATATCGTTTTTTATTGTTCAAACATTCGTTCTAATTAACCAACAAATTGATCAACAATGTACACAAAATATTAAATCATGAATAACTCTGGAGGTCAAAATTCATGTATCAGTTCTGATGACACAACGACACTATCATCAATGTCTTCTTTTATTTATTTATTTTTATTTTTAAAATTCTTCTATTATTGTTTTTTCTCAATAAACAATGGATCAATTACTAAAGAAGAAGTTATAGGTCTACCGCAATCCAAAGCCTTCTCAAACCCATTTTCTCGATGGTCTTTGAAAAACTCAAGAAGTGCTCGGGAAGTACTCATTCCTAATCATTACGTATAGTCTCATATTAGCGTTATTTACCAAGGTTCTTTACTTTATCCAATATATGATACCATAATAACCATAACAATTATAATGTCAAATCTTCCAAGTCTGTACTCTGCTAGACAAATAGCTTCATTTCTTTTATCTTTATATGTCTCTTCACCAATAAGTTTATACAGAGCTTCTACTATTTTAGAAGATTGAGTTATTATTGCTTTTACACTTTCAATCCTATTTTTCCAACTTGTGCTTGAAAAAGATTTTAAAGTAAGTCTATGTTTATGTAATTAACATTTATGATTCATGACAAATGACAAATAAGTGTGCAAAACTCTCACATATCGGGTAGTAGAGCACTAGAAGCAAAACAAAAGTCAAAAGAAAAAACAATTTATACTAAAAACAAGTTTATACTTTTCTTTAAATATAAATATTTTTTCTTAATTTGTTGATAAATTTTAAAATTTATGATTAGATTTTAATTTTTTGATTTTCTATGATTTTTCTCATGATTAAAATAAGTTCAAGATTACAACAAGATGTTACATTGTGTATATAAGTAATCGACATATCTATTTCTTTAATGATAACAAATAAAAAAGTATTTTATAAAAATACCAACACTATAACTATATATTTGTTCCAAAACTTGGGGACCTCATAAAATTTGAGGCCTCATGTGACCACACTCCTTGTACACCCCAAGGCCACCATTGCTTAAAACTAGTATGACAATCGGTGAAGAACTTGATATTGATGAAAAATATTTATTTATGAGTTACAAGTTTTGAATATAATGTTGTGGGATAAAGGATATAAATGTGAACTTCCTTGGATAGCTATTCAAATTATAGAGTTTTCAAAGAAAATTGACATGTTTCCCAATGTGTTGATAACATATAAGATTTTGTTAACAAGATTTGTTTTTTGAAATTAAAGTTATTGGAATCATATATTTGAAGTACCATGAGTCAAAATATTAAAAGAATTAGTAACTTTGAGTATCAAAAATCACTCTCTAATTATCGTAAAATTTGGAATGTTTTTGCTTTAAATATTACACGTAGACATCATATTAGATGATTTCTTTTTCTCTGACCATTATTTAGTTTTATTATCAAATTTATTTCACTTTTGATATATATATATATATATATATATATATATATATATATATATATATATATATATATATATATTATATATATATATATATATATATATATATATATATATAAGAGCCTCTTTTTAGTATCTCGTCGCGTGCATTGAAAGTCAATTGAAAGGTAAGGCGTTGAAAATGTGTATTTCTTAAAAAGTCGTGAGTTCAGGTCTAGTGGTGGACATAAAATTTAGTTTAGAAATAGGATTTAATAGATATGTGTTAGCTGTTAATAAAAAAACTCCACAGTCTCACTATTAAATAGGTTAAGAAAAATAAACGCTAACAATTGATAGGGATACTTAGTTCATTAGGATATCCACCGACCACTTTAGCACATCATAGTTCTGTTCCTAATGAAGTTCCTCAACTAAACTGAGATTTTTCATTCCAATTTTGTGAGAAATATAAGTGGAACAAGTAATATTCTTTGTTTTCGATCATTTTTCAGAGGAACTAAAAAGTATTCTTGAAGTTATTCTTGGTGTTTGTTGGCTAGCTCGATAAGTGGATATCTTAATCACTTATTTCTGCTTCTTTTGTATCAATTTTATGTTTCGTTCATAGTTTCAGTCGTGATTCATTCAAATTTCCAAGTATCAACATGAAAAGCCCAAGGCCCAATTGTGTTTGTTTAAAAAACAAAATGATCGAATCCAAAGTTTACGGATATTTGATTGAACAAGTCTTTATAATATTTCAACATTTTTTTCATTCATTTTATATACTAATTAACTATGGGATCCCAAATGTTAGATGAGACATGTCCTAGTTTTTCATTCATTTTATATACAACCGCATTTCTACTAATAATAATACAATGACACTTTTGATTCCACAAATATCATTTCCATGTGTTAAAATCAAACATTTCCCTAAAACACTAAAAGCACCTCCAATACACACATACATAATTTTATTATCTAAAAACTAGGAAAATACTAGAAAATGAACATTACAAAGAAAACATAGAAAAACATGGATTTTGTAACCAGCTGACTCAATTCATCTTACATTGTTTGTTCATATTTACAATCCAAAAATGACTTTTTTTTTCAAAAATCTACGATTTATTAGGTTTTTTTGCTCAACTAAGCGAGTCTCTAGCCCAAAGATGCATGAATTGAGAGACTACAAAAGTCTAGATTCATTTAAATTTGGTTCTTCCAAATATTAGTTAAATATGAAAATAGTACCAAGTAGGAGACTGGCCATTTAAATAAATTATCCTCAAGTTAGTTGTAGTGGCTGAAAAACGATTGTTTATTAACAAATCATACATCTTATAACAATAGTAATCGCTATTTATTTTTGAAAGTAAAAGAGTAAATAAAATGTTGAATGGAAGTACCTTAAATATTAAAAAATTACTTATCACTAATGATAAAATAAATCATACTTATTAAATGGTTGGTTTGACCAGATCAGTGGTCATTGTCAGTGGAGGTGATGATATAACAAAAAGAAAGCCAAAAAAGATTAAATTATTTTTTTTATCATCAAACATTTAATAATAACATCAAATCAATTCTTATTTTGTCCGTACTTTACTCTTTCATATTAAGATTATTTTTTTTTTCTGAAAAGTAACCATTTTGGCCTTTCTCTTCTCCCTTTTTTTCCCTTCTTTTTCCAATAAAAACTTGAAGTTAAACAAAGTATGATTTGAAGAACACTTTCAAGAATCAAGCTTATATGTTTTCAATCTCAAAGTATGATTTGAAGTATATTCATCGAGTTTAAAACAATACTTAAACTACATATGAATTTTATTTTACTTAAATAAAAATTAAAAAACGACAAAAAGTCTGTTTAATATTTTAATTATTTCCACATTACTTTTTTTTAAAATAATTTTCTGCTAAATCCCACTACTATTTAAATATATACACTACAATTTTGTGGTTCAAAAGAACACTAACCATGCACACAACCTCTATAAATATCACAAACCCCATGCACTTTAACCATCTTCATTCTTATCAATTGCCTATTTCTCTATCTAACACTCATTTTTTCACACACACACACACATACTCCATGGCTCTAAAAAACTTAACCCTAGTTACTTTCATCCTCATTTTAACCATAACCCTTCAGATTCACTATCTTGATGCAAGAAACTTAAAACAAAACAGCATCAGCCAACTTAATGCAATTGAAGCTCTACAGACAAAACCTATCTCAACTAACACTACAGTCGAGTCTCAGCCACCACCATCACCACCACCACCACCACCGCGAAGTGCTCAAGACTTCCGGCCAACAACACCTGGCCACAGCCCTGGGGCGGGGCATTCTATTCAAAACTAGGGCAAGTGAAACTTATATATTTATGTAACTTATATAGTTATATATTTGTAAACTCATTTCAGCTTTTTATATCTTGTGTTAATGTAATGTCATGTAATTATAGTTTTATTTTTATCTGAAAGGATATAATTCGCAAGAAGATATAAACAAGAAAACTTACCTGATTGAAATTTCTTGGTTGAAAGTCTGAAACTATTCCATGAAGTGTTAAAAGAAAGAAATACAGCATTCATGCTGTAGGACCTTAGAAATCCAAAAGTAATTGAGGAAGTATCCTTTCCAGATGAGTTGCTTCAATTTTATTTCCACCTTCAGCTTCAGCAATAGTAGCAGCTCTATGAACTGCTTCTGCATTGACAAAATAAAAACTTTTGTAAACTACACAGGAAATAAGCATACATCACAACTGGATATATAAATATGCAGTTTTCTTTATTGCTAACAGTAGCTATAATCAAGGTGGATTAACCTGAAACAAAGAGTCGAAGTTTTTCACAACTCAGCTTCACAGCATTTGAATTGGCTGAAACAAGAGTAGATTGGAATCATAATTTACAGAAATCAAGCAAAAACAAATAGAAAAAAGCATGTTAGAATACATTGGAGATAAATCATTTGAAATCTAGAAGAACAATTTTCTCTTAAAACTATCAGAAAGAAGAAGTGGTACTGGATTTTGTATCTAATTCAAAGTAACACCATTAATTTAACTTGAAAAGGCTCCTTACCAGAAGTAGGTCGGTTTTTCTTAGATGTTCCAGCTCCTTCCTGCATATACACTCAAGAAACGGAGCTAATTTATGCAAATCAAGATTACATGAAACATAAAATACAGAATCGTTTGTTCACACAAAAGTGGCGAAGTTTTGGAACAACTTCGATTAAATTTAGCATGATAAATAACAGCGTTTCACACAATTAAGACGCTAAAATTGAACAGAAGATGTTTTCGAGAACTGAAGTTATGATAATCAAATGTGTTCTACCTCGCCCTTGGAAGTCTCGTCGTCTACGTTCTTCTCCCGCTCTGAAACGGAAACGGAAACAAACGTATTTCTGTAAATACAAAAATCATATCGGAATTTGAGAGTTTAAGCAGAAAATCTCAATCGGAAGTAGATCGATTGCAAGAGAAATCGAACCGATTGCTTTTTTGCTCCACACCGTTCTGAAAATTGCGTAAATCAAATCCTGTTAATTTCACGATAAAACCGAACTTCACGTATTATTTAAAAACATATCGTAAACAGAAATCAAACACAAGTTTAGCGTTTCATTTCACCTGATCAAAATTGTTCTCCATGGTGGAACAACCAATGAGGAACGATGATAATTCAATCTAACGATCTGAAGAAGAATGAAAGAATGACGATATTATTAGAGGGACCAAACTTATCAATTTGACAAACTATTGTGGCCAATTTCAAATCGGCAAAAGTTTACTATTCCTAACTTTTGGTTTTGTCATTAGTATTTAAGTATTCTAACAATATAAAATCTGAATTACTCAAATATTTTCTTAAATACATTCATCTTCTCATTTCAACCACGTATGAAAAAAGTTCTGAGAAAACATAATAATTACAAGATTAGGTATGTATATAAGTATATTAATGAGTTACACAGCAGTAAAGTGTAGAAAGTATTATTTTATTATATATAAAAAGATATAGTATAATAAAACCAAACCCCACAAAAAATTAAGTCACTTTCATCCAATGATTTTTCAAAAACAATACTAAAAGTTAAAAAAAAAAAAGTTTAAAAATTAAAACTACACACACTCACTGTGAACTACAGCCTAGCATAATGCATAATAGAGAATCTTATTCTGTTTGTCTCTTGTTAAACTATTAACCACTTTTCCAATGTTATAAGCGTAGTGGAAGAGTGAGGCTTCCAAAGGTTATGGAGCCAACTATGAAATTTCTTAAAAAGGAAAAAATATATATTTTTTAAATTCCACCATGAATACAAATGTCGGCATGAAAAGATCATATTTTTTATGTTTTGACTTCTTTTTAGTAAACTAATTGCAAGTTGCTTTGTTAAGAGTGGTAGGGTCGCATCGAGGATTGATTAGTAATTTTATAATTTAAAATGGATTATTGCTTCTTTATATCCTTGACCATGAAATTTTCCGAAAGGCCAAATATTAAAATTTGGCGATATATCAATAATCGTGTTTTATTTTAAGAAAATCAACATCCACTAAATTTGTGGTTTGGGAGTTGTGTATAAAGTTGTTGTTTCATGTAGAAGTCAACTCCACTAGTCAACATAAAAATGAAAAAAAAAAAAAAGGAAATAAATTGATAGGAGGAAGATAGGTTGACATATATAAAACATAGGAGTGATTGAGACTAATCATATTTGGTCAAATTCAAAAGATATTTGGTCAAACTATGACTCTGTGTAAGCCATTCATTGAAAAGTGCATTTTGCTATTTTATGATAGAATATTAATTTGATACTAACTTTAATTTACAAGAAAAAGAAACATTACAAGTAGTAGAAATAACTTTCAAGGTCTTCAACAACTTTCAACAAAGATTTATATGCATAATACAAACTAACAAATCAATGTTTAAACATATTCATAAAAAATAAAAAATAAAAACTAAGTTTTTCCAAAGGTAATGAATGTAAAAGAACATATAAAGATTAAACAGACAGTTGTATTTCACTTAATTTTGTCATCTTTTCTCAACCATCAACATAAAATTATAATTTATAAAAATGAGTCAGTGGAAAGGACTAAGAATCTATTTGGTGGTGGTGATAATTGATAAAGCTACTTCCTTTGATATTATAACTTACAAAATCTAAGCATCAGTCACATCTAACATTCTAAAATAAATGATTTTGCATAATCAATTAATCATCACCTAAAAATAGTGCAAATTCTATGGCTAGTAAGCATTCAAGGAGTCAAGAGTCAAGACCACTAATGGCTTCACTAAAAGATTTGCATAAAAATTAATCAAAGGACCTAAATTTTCTACTTCAAGAATAAGTGTGTATCATTTCCTTAATAGCCTAAATGCACCTTAATACTATAAATACCAGAAGAGTAGAATAACATTCCATATTGCTTCCACAACCCTTCCTCATTTTCACAATCTGTTTAATCATGGTTCATTTCCAGATATACCCTTGTGTTTTTTTCATTCTCTTAATCACTTTCCATGAAATCCCATTGTTTGAGGGAAGGAAACTAAAAGATGTTACTGCCTTTAGGCCTACAACACCTGGTAATAGTCCAGGAGCAGGGCATTCTTTCACTGAAAACAGACCAGATTTAAGATCAAAAGAAGTAGAAAGTAAAGATTCAGACATTCATCATCCTACTTCAGAATCTGCAACTGGTTTTAGGCCTACAAAACCAGGAAACAGCCCTGGTGCTGGTCATTCTATACACAATCAAACTGCTATTCCATAAGCGTATAATGCCAAAAGTATAGATAGATGTAAGGTACTAAGGTAAAATGAAATTGATTGTTGTTATATCTATTGTGCATTGGGAATTGTGAATTCTTCCTTATGGCTGAAGATTATCAGGCCTATGCGTATTTTTATAGTTCCATGGCTTTAATGTCTGTCTCTTGCAGTTGCAGAGATCTGTTGTTGTTTCAAATTTTCAATCACTGTAACTTCGGTGTTGGACTTTAATAAATGTTAGAATGTACATTATCTCCTTCAATTCGTGTAGATGTATGATTATCAAACGCAAAAAGAAAGAAAAAAGATGGAAGATGTAATAGGCATAACTGCGGATATAATATATGATGTGTCGAATCAAAGCAAGTGATTGATTAACTTATTCATTGATACATGCAAAGGAATTACTTTATCTGTTTTGTCTAAAAAAGCAGGATGAGAAAAGTTACAGATTTCAACAACAACAACATATACTTACATTATTTTAATCATCTGTAAGTCTGTAACCATTGCGCTCTTTTCCGTAGGTTTCTAGTTTCCAGTTACTGAACCTTTTTACGAACCCTAAAAGTAAACCAGCGCAATTGTAGACGCTAACTGTTAACGAAAACCAACAAATGTTAATAGCATCAAGTGGATCGATCGTTATTCGCTATGTAAACAATTTCAGTACAAATTTCTGATTTATGATACGTGTACGCAGAAGTAAATAGCTGATCGCGAAAAAACCCTAACCTGCAAAAGTTGTGGAACTTCTGATTGAAAGTCTCCGTTTATGGGGGCTTATGGATTTCCACCGAAAAAACCCTAAAGCATATCGATGAAGCCTGAAAATGAAAATATACAAAAAAAAAATAATAATAATAATAATAATAACAAATTCTAAAAGTTTTTATAAAAATCGATTTTGACACTACCTTTTTTTATATCTTAAATTGGATATTATTTTAGAAATTTTTACAATTTCAACTACTTAGACCGATCAGATGACTTATCAAAAAAGATACATAAACATGTTAGGTCAATAGATAATATGATTGATTGGTTAATTTGTCGGAATTATAATAAATTGATAAAAATAATGTTTAATTTGAAAAAAAAAATGTTAAATCAAAATTTTTTGAAAACTTAGTGATTTTTGTGAATTTTCCATACAAAACAAACAAATATATCTATATATATATATATATATATATATATATATTATATATATATATATATATATATATATATATATATATATATATATATATATATAGACACATACACACTAGATGTTTTCCTATGCAAAAAACCGGCAATAAATAATTCTTTTGTTATAGAGAAATAATTAATAGATTTTTTTATTAGTTATTATCTAATAAAAAAATTACCACTTTTAAATAAAATATTTATGTCTGAAACTTATATTTATGTTATCTGTTTAAATATTTTATGTAAATTAATTATTTTTGATGTCTAGTTTAAAAATGTAAATTAATTTATATCGATAAATTTAATATTTTAAAATTATTATTTTTTATCTTTTAAATTTAAATAAATAAAAGAAACTAATGTGT